TATTCTCCTCCTCCTTCCATGAAGGGGCTATGAAGTGGCAGCCCTTCTTGGTGGATTTTATACAAAGCACAAATTCTAAGGATGTGTGGGAAGTAGGTTCCACCACAAAATCGCGGAGGACAAAATCGCACTCGACGAAAGCGCGCATTTGACGTCATCACAGCGCGACGAAAACATCGCGCTGTGATCGAAAAATGTAAAAATAAAGCTAAAACCTTACCCTAACCCCCCCAAACCTAACCCTTAACCTAACCCTAAATCTAACCCTAAACCTAACCGTTAACGTAACGCTAAACCTAACGCTAACCCTTAACCTAACGCTAAACCTAACGCTAACGCTCTAAACCTAACCCTAACCCTTACCTTTATGTGAATCGGCTTGCTTTAATTTTAATTTTATTTCAATTTTTAATTTTTTTTGTCACGCTGTGATGACGTCGCATGCGCGCTTTCGTCGAGCGCGATTTTGTCCTCCACGCTTTTGACGGGTCACGTGGGAAGTGCACCCAAAAAGGACAGTGCCAGGAATCTCATAGCACCAGAAACCTCAGTAAAAAGTGCCAAGAAACTCAAGCCAGCCCTTCCCCCTTAAAGGAAACACCAGGCAGAAACACCTGCTGAAAGAAACCCCCAGAGCAGCCCTACTAATGGAGCTGACAATGGAAACACTTAGAGCCATCAAGATAAGGGACATCAGGCCAAAAAATAACTCGCCTGGAACTTCCTTTTTCCTGGCAGAATCACCCCCCCCCCCCTTTTGGGATTCATTTCTTTTCAGCCTCACTGCTACTTCCCAGCTGGGAAGGAACCAGGGAAATTATTTGTATCATAAACAATTAATTCCATTTTCTCCTCCCTCATCCAGGTCATTTATAGACTATTTGTACAACATTCAGCATCTCAGCCTCTTTCGTTTCTCTTTCCAGGAGATCAGTGAGGATGTCCTTGTGAACTCCAGAGTGGAGAAAGGGGCTTTGTGGGATCAGAATCCGCTGGGGCAACTGAGGCTTCCAGGAGTGGCTGCAGCTTTGCATCCTAGTTCAGCACCCCCAATTCATGAAGGGGGGGGCTATTCCATGTCTCCAGGACCTCCCCCACCCCAGAGACTCCCCCACCTCCCTTGCCTCGGCCTTCCTCCACTTAAGAACCCATCAGATCACTTAATATGATCCCAAACAGGAGTTTGGGATTATGATTGTTCAGACCTGACCCCTCATCTACCAACTGCTTCACTGAGTGACCAAAATTCGAGTCCCAATTGTAGCCATAAGTTGGGGACTAACTACATTCAGAGCTTCCTCTTCACTGTGTCAAGGGGCAGGAACCAAGGAGGAATAGAAAAGAGTCAAGGAACAGCAGAAGAGTTTGCCTCCTAGGCGTGTGGGGTGACAAAAATAACTGGAGATTTTGTCCCTGGTGTCCTGGGGACCCATGTCCCATTTTGGAGGAGGAGGCAAGACTGGAAGACCTTCAAGGTCCCCTCCAAATGTAAGTTTTTGTGATTCTCTGTGTTTCTCAAAAGAAAATACAATTCCTGTATTCTTCTTTCCAGCAGGAAAAGATGCTGTGAGCAAAGATTTACCCACTAGATAGTATCTTCTATCAGTAGATAGTAGAAATTCAGAA